GACCAAGCCAATACTGACCATGTTGTCGCCGAAGTGGTACATCCAGGCTCCACCGTAGGTATCCGACGGAAGAGGATATCCCATGGAATGCGTGATTTCACCCGACTTGAACTTCTCGGGCTGGATCTCCCAAATCTCCTTAAGACCAATACCATAGGTCTGCGGTTGGCTATCGCGGCGAAGGTCGAACTTCTTAGCCACTTGCTTGGTCAAGCTTCCATGACAGCCCTCGGCCAGCAAGGTGACCCGCGCATGGAACTCCATACCCCGCTCGAAACTATCCTTCGCTTTGCCGTCGCGACCGATGCCAAGATCGTTGGTTGCGACACCAAGAACGGAGCCATCCGACTTGTAAACCACCTCACTGGCTGCGAATCCGGGATAAATCTCGACACCAAGTTCCTCCGCCCGCTCTCCTAGCCACTTAGTGAGCTCGTTCAAACTGATGATGTAGTTGCCGTGGTTGTTCATCTGTGGTGGCGCGGGGATCGGGAAGGACGAGTTCTGGGTCAGGAAGCGCATCTTATCCGCCTTCGCAGGGGTCGCCCCCTCGAAGCGGGATGGGTTGTCCTCCGCAAGCCAGTCGGGCAGGAGTTCGTTCAACGCCGTTGGCTCGAGTACGTTGCCGGACAGGACGTGGGCGCCAAGTTCGCCGGCCTTTTCCAACAGAATGACGCGGAACTCCTCGTTGCCGGCTTCATTGGCTAATTGTTTCAATCGAATAGCTGCGGCGAGACCAGCGGGACCTATTTCAAGCGGCAAACAATAACGGTCAGTCACTTTACATTCTTCCACTTGCGCGATGCATTCCCCTCGCGCGACCGAGTCTATGCGGAGTCCCTACCGCCACCGACAATACAAACATCCACCTCATCCGATTCTCTGTCCAGCTGACGGGGATCGAAATTGCCATCGGCATCGGTTAATCTTCGCGTTACAGATTGTGAAAATGCGCGTGTCTGAATGGGAGTGAACAGCGACCGTGGTCGAATGGCTTTACGGTAGGAGGCTGGCAAGGAGCGGTTTGAGGGCCGTGCAGAGGTTGCGAGTGACGACAACGAGGCGGAAGCCTTGGGGAGGCGCAGGGAAGAGGGTCGCAACTCGCGCCTCAACAACGGCAGAACCGCGCCTTTGGAGGCCATTGTTTAGGCGAGTAGGCGAAGAAGATGTGATTAAGACTGAAGGGGAAGGAGATAGGAGTGGGGACGAAGGTCACAGTAGGGCTGGAAGTTGCGAATCCTATACTGAGAACAAATGCATCATAGACGGCGAATAGATCGCGACAGTAGAAGGTAGAGGGGGTATCGTCAACAAGAGTATTTTAGCCCTGTGAAAACGCAGTAGTAGCAGTAACAAACTACTAGAATCAGAGGAGTCACTTCTCCGACCGGCCAGATTGAAGCACTGATCCAATGGAGGGAGGAGTGTGACTAAGAGGACGAAGGAGAGGGGGGGAAAGGATGAGGTGGATTGAAATTTTGGTGGTCGGCCCGAGGCAACGGCGGCCAATGGAAAGGCGGATAATGTGAATCAACTCGCCCTCAATACTACTAGGTATCCTACTAGGTATCCTACTAGGTAAAACCACGGTACTTCCGCTCATACAGCCGTGAATCCCGTCGGGACATGCGCAAGGGCAACAACAGTCACTCCAGGCTGCAGTTAGTGCTGTCGGTACAATAGGTACTCGGTGTCTTGCCATCCGATGGACCCTGAGTCTCTGACCGACCTCGAAGCTGCTTTTTTCACATACGTCGTGATGATCGAATGGTTCGCGTCGCCGATCTTGAGTAATGAGTCCATGAAACTTCCAGTTGGTCCAAATGTCACCTTGCCGGAGATAGCCGTGGCAACCAGGTGCAGTTTGTGGCAGGTACTTAGTCAGACCTAGCCTTCAAATAACTATCACATGAAGGCAACCAAGAGTCGAGCAGATTCAAATAAATCCCAGAGATACCGAGAAGATAACCAAGCCCCGATGACGACACGCGATCGAGATGTCATGGGCGATTTCCGGTTGCCTGCCCGGCCTTATACTACTCAGTATACTCCGTACTCTGACACCCATGTGATGAACACCGGCTGACAAAGATCTTGACACTCTGTGAGTGTGGCGATGCAGCAACAACTGAAAACCCACCGAATAAATACACAGTAAATAAGCATCTGAATGCACAACGATGTGGCACAACGCGTCTCTAGTCATGTGGTCCATGTACTTTACATGCATGTACAATATTCGTCTCCGCATCTACGGATTACTATACATAGTACGAAGTATCGTACTTCGTCCTCTTCATCTAATGCCGTGTACCGAGTATTGAATCCTGGTGGCAACAGTCGAGTAATGATAAAAACCTACTGTGTACTGTCTACTATTCTTTGCGATAGAGGCTTGGAAAAGGACACTTGGCCGGATTACGTAGGCCGGCGCAGAGACGGAAGGCATGCAGCATAGCCAGTCAGGAGGGTTAAGCGATAAGCTTGAGGGCTGGTTCAGTGCTGATACTGGTCATGTCTGAGATTGAGATCGATACATAAATGAAGGTTTCCCAGCCCAAAGTGACCAGTGCATCAAGGCTGCAAGTTGACCGAATACCGATCGAGCTGGTGGATCACAGTTTGGTGGTCTGAGATCCGGGGTAGATTAAGAAGGTCAAGCAGGGATTGAACTTGGAAGTACGGAGTACCGTACGGAGTACCTACTGCTCATAGGAGCAAGAAAGTACCATCGGCTGGAGCCTTGCCCTTGAGGCTTGTTGGAGGCGGCAGGCAACGCCAAATGAAAAGGGAGGACGCGTCCAGTCCACCGACCCCATGACGCGACCGGCTTGAAACCCATCCCAAATTTTTTTTCTGTCGCGGTCGGCCCAGCTTCTTTTCCAGCCGGTTGATCCATCCTCCATCCTCCATCATTTTGTATCTTGATTCCTTTCGATCATAGCGATTCTCAGAACGCAAAATGTGATTGAATGTTAGTCGCAAGATGATTTCAGATCAGAAGCATCATATTCAATCGAGAATCCTTTTTTTGGGGCCGCGATCAAGGCAGCGCTGAGGCCCCAAACAAGCTCATGGAAAGGAAGAGAAACCGGGCCAAGAGAGCAAAAATTTTCTTTTTTTCATTTTTTTTTTCATCCTCCATCTTTGCTTTTGTGGAGGGTTGGCCCAGTTGCTAAAGCGGCAGGACCGTGATGGCGGGCAGACGCGTTAGTCTACCTCGCTATCTCCCTAGTCGCCGAGAACAGCAATCCGGCATGATTGGAAGGAAACGGAATGGATGGACTTTGCAAAAGTGGATCGCAGGAGGAACGCGGACTGGTTCAAATCGAGTGGCTGCAACCATGGCGCCGGTCGGGAAAAAAGAGTAAGGGGGGCGACAGCCAACGAGAACAGGTGCACGCCAGTGGAACTCCCAGACAATGTGTTTACCGTGGGTCGGCCGATCAACAAACCAGCGCTTGTGCTTGGGGGTTCTTGGGGGTTTTGGGGGGGTCTTGGGGGGAGGTCTTTGCTTGGGAAGTGCGAAGTGGGCGGCGTTGGCCACCCTCCAAGAGCCGCTAGTGGAGCGTTAGGTCCATAGAAAAACACTGAAAACACTGAAAGATACTTGTGCTAAACCAGCCAAATGAGCCATACCCATGGGTGACCGTCGCTGCTTTTGCCGCCTTTCGCCGCCGGGCCCAGCCCCCCCTGACGCCAGCTCCCCTTCTTTCCCTACCTTTCCCTTCATCACCCACCCACCCCCCCGGCGGCTGTGAGTCAGCCTATATAAAGGCCCAACCTCCCACTTTCCTGACTCTGTTGGAATTTTTGATTCTGGTCTTGGCACCGCCCGGAAAGCCATACACACTCTTCCCGCCCGATATCCTCCCCCCCTTCCTATACCCCCTATCCTCTCCACTCGTACAGTTCACAGAGCCGCTAAATTTTTAGCTGTCTCTATTGCTTTTCGCGCTGGTCTAAGATTCCCCGGGAAGAAGTTCTTAGGAAGCCAAGAATTGGAAAAAGGTTGAAGAAGTTATATTTTTTTATACCTCTCCCTCTTTCCTTTTTCTTATCTTACTACTACACTGTTTCAGATTCAGTTACTGAAACAGGAAGGTTGCAACCTCAGGTTCGCATCTTCGTCGCTCTCTCTCTTTCTTCACATCCACGCGCACCTTCTCTCCAAACGCAGATAGACATCACCAATTCCAAAAGAGGAAAAAAAAGTTTTTGCCTTTGATCATATCACGTGCATCGCACTGTCTTGACACTCCCTATTCACTCTGTGCTTGTTACTTCACTTCTGCAATATCTGCAGAGGCTGCGTCGAGTTGTTCCCTGCTCCCTAGAAAACACTTGGTTGTGCTTTTCTAGTTCTCATCCTCACCGTCCTCTCTCCCATCCTCCATCTGGGCTTCGTGGTACTACTCGATCATCATTCAGTCAGGCTCTTGTCATCTTGACTTGACTTGATTTGACTTGATTTGACTTGTGGGTTCTTGTTGGTTTTATCTCTGGCACTCTACCTCGGACCTCATTCCGTTTTATTCTCTTGAAACGGTTCGTCGATTGTGGGCAGTGTTGCTGTAGGGGAGACATTGATTTGTTCATCTCCCACAAAAGGGTACGTGACTCTTTCGTCGCCGTTGGGTGTTTTTTTTCGCCACCCGACCGCCTTTTTCCTGTCAACTTCGCAACCATTTCACTATTTAACTACCACCACCACCACCTTACCACTTCCCTTGCCTTGTCTGTCTCCCTGGACTGACTGAGAATATCTGGTGCAGACTGTCATCCGAAAGCTCTCATCACTTCTTCAGCGTCGGCTGGTCTACGGCTCGAGTATCTTGACTCTCGTCCGCGATGGATTCTCTCACAACTCATCCGGCCACTGCGCAGCAGGCCCGGGCCTTCACTTCTCCTGCCTCTCTGTCCTTTCCCGGTGGTGCTGGTGATCTCACGCCACCTTCCGAAAAAGACGCACACATGGCAATGGCTCAAGGTGTCAATGGAGGTTTGAACGGTCAGCAGCAGGGAGCAAATGCCTCGAATGGCAATGGGGTGGCGCCCGCAACTCCCGCTGCTACTCCTGGTGCCAACGCGCCAGGAAGCGGCATTGTGCCTACGTTGCAGTGAGTATACTCTTACTGTTCTCGTTCTTCTGGTTTACCAGATTGCTGAACAAGACTTTTTTCTATCTTCAAAGAAACATTGTCGCCACGGTCAACCTTGACTGTCGCCTGGACCTGAAGACGATCGCGCTCCACGCAAGAAATGCGGAGTACAACCCAAAGGTATTACTTTCCACATCCTCCTGAGCTTGGCACGTCAGGGGACATTGTGGCTGAATTGGTCTTTTCTTCTCTTCCCATAGCGTTTCGCGGCCGTGATCATGCGTATCCGAGAGCCGAAGACGACTGCTTTAATCTTCGCCTCCGGCAAGATGGTGGTAACTGGTGCCAAGTCGGAAGATGATTCCAAGCTGGCGTCCAGAAAATACGCCCGTATCATCCAGAAGCTCGGCTTCAACGCCAAGTTCACGGATTTCAAAATCCAGAACATTGTCGGTTCCTGCGACATCAAGTTCCCGATCCGCTTGGAGGGCTTGGCTAGTCGCCACCACAACTTCAGTTCTTACGAACCCGAATTGTTCCCTGGTCTCATCTATCGCATGATGAAGCCCAAGATCGTGCTCCTGATCTTCGTCAGTGGCAAGATTGTCCTCACCGGTGCTAAAGTCCGTGAGGAGATCTATCAGGCTTTCGAGCTGATCTATCCTGTGCTTTCGGGTATGCACTACTACATTCTTTCGTCTCTGATGACGAGGTGACAACATTTACTAACATGCGTAAAAAGATTTCCGTAAAGTTTAAAAACGGCCTTTCGGCTCGAACCAGGAATATCACGCCGTCGCCATTCTTCCACCTTTCACCGATATGTATTAACAAAACCTTTTTTTTTCTTTTCGTCGACTCGCTGTGGTCGCTTCCGACACATCGCCCGTCGATCGATCAGACGTGGTTTCTCTTGTTTCTTTGCGCACGTCACGATTCTTCATGCTAGCATTTGTACGGCGTTCTAGCGACTCGTTTCTTGCTACCTGGTTGTCTCTTTTATCAAACACAAATCGTCTTGCCATCTTAGATAGTCGCACACCGCAGATCAAGGGGGCGGTACTGTGCGCTGGTCGAATGGTTGCCTCCTTCTAATTACTGGTTTTTCTGTTCTTCGCCTTCGGGCAGCGTCTCATTCATTGGTCCATTCCAATGATGTGATGCTTCCGACCTCTGATTGCCTTCTGCTCAATCGGATGGTTCTTCACCAACACCGCAGCACCAAAAAGATGGAAAAAAAATTCTTTATTGTTTTAGATCTTACGGAATGTTATGAAAGCGGATGATTGTACCGGGAGATTGAGGACTTCGGGGCTATGCCTAGGTTTATGGCTGGCATTATTACGGACTCCTGGTTGCTATACAAAACAAAAGGATTAAAAAAACTTCAAACAAATGTACTTCTTTTGTCCAAAGTAATGCGCATTTCGTAGTTTTGTATACATGATTTGTGAAAGGTCTCGGCGTAATCACATGTTGAGTGCAGCAGTTGCCGGCTTTGCGGGGAAGCCGTTGGCCGCCTCGTTCGGCATGGTCCAACCCGAGCGTCATTTCCACAATCCAGCCTCGCCACTATCTATGGCCTAGTATCAATCAGTATACCGGCTCTGTCTTTCCACGTTGGATATATGTTACAACAGATGGTGTGCATAGCGAGCTAGCCATCCGGAATTCGAAGTGTGTTGTTATTCGATCTCCCAAGTTATCCCTCGCAGTGCTGAAGGCTTGTTCCTGTCGGTTATCTCGGGGCAAAAATGATGCGAGTCCTCATATGAAAGGAGAATTCCCTCCCTGTTTGGACTCATGATCAACAATTTACAGGCCAGTATTAGTCGCTTCCTTCCTTCACGAGCAACCTCGAGATGGCCGAAATTTTCGCTCTCGCATTCGAGCACTCCCCGTCCGGCTTCGGGATCCAGCATGACGCGCCCCGTCTCTCGTGGAAGGCTACTTGTTCGAACAAGAGTATTCGCAATTGGGTCCAAACCGCATACGAGATTGCCCTGAAAGCACCGGAATGCCATCCGGAGGACGAAGGACAGATCTATCGAGTGGACAGCCCCGAGTCGACGTGGGTGCCATGGCCGGGCCCTCCGCTGCGCTCACGCGAACGTAAGCTGATTCGCGTGCGCGCTCACGGCACCTGGACGGAAACGAGAGGAGATCATGGCCCAGAAGCCAAAGAGCATGCTGGTTGCACTGCGTGGTCGACATGGAGCCGGGTGGAGTGTGCTTTGCTCAGCCAGCAGGACTGGGCCGCTGTCCCGATGGTTCACCCGGCGATCGGAGGCGAGCAGACTCTCAGACCGGTCGTGTTCCGGAAGACCTTCGAGCTCCCCGCCGATTTTGGTGCCGTGGAACAAGCGAGACTCTACGTGACAGCGCTGGGGATGTATCGGGTCTATCTGAATGGGAAGCGGGTGGGGGACGACGAGTTGGCCCCGGGCTGGACGAGCTACCACCATCGTATGGCGTACCGGGCTCATGATGTCTCTGCCGGGATCGCAGCTCGCAATGTGCTGGGAGTGGAGGTGGCCGAGGGGTGGTATGCAGGCCGCCTGGGGTTCAACGGTGGGAGGCGGTGCCTCTACGGCGACCAGATCGGTGCGCTCGTTCAATTGGAGATCGTTGGCGCCCGGAAGGATCACTTGTTGCAGGTCATGTCGGACAGCAGTTGGAAATGCAACTTCAGCCCCCTCGTGCGCAGTGAGATCTATGATGGCGAGCTGTACGACATGCGCGAGGAGCTGGGGGACTGGCACGGCGACCCCGACTACCAGGAGATGACGACGACGACGACGACGGCGGCGGCGGCTTGGAAGCCGGTCGTGACGCTGGCTTTGCCGGAGGCATCTTTGGTCGTCCCTCGAGCGCCCGCTGTCCGGGTTACACAGCAGGTTACAGCGCGGCGCTTGTTTACCACCCCTTCTGGGCGTTTGATTCTCGACTTCGGTCAGAATCTGGTGGGTAAACTTCATGTGCGGGAATTGGGACTGCCCGCCAATGCTGAGGTGAAATTCACGCACGCAGAGGTGTTGGAGAATGGGGAGTTGGGCATACGACCGCTGCGTCAAGCCAAATGCACCGACGTGATCATTTCCTCCGGAGAGACCCTCAGGGACTGGTCCCCGAAGTTTACCTTTCATGGATTTCGCTTCGTGCAGGTAGATGGATGGGACCCCCTGTCCTCATCACTCTCTTGGCAGGAGAATATCACCGCATTGATATTACACACAGACTTTGCTCCGACGGGGGATTTTGAGTGCTCGAATGATGCGATCAACCAGCTGCATCGCAACGCTCGGTGGAGCATGCGAGGCAACTTTGTGTCCATCCCAACTGATTGCCCCCAGCGGGACGAGCGGCTGGGCTGGACCGGTGATATCCAGGTCTTCAGCCCGTCGGCAACCTTCTTGTATAACTGCGAAGGGATGCTGGCCGACTGGATGGAGGACGTAGCTGCAGAGCAGCATGACGATGGAGGAGTGCCTCCACTAGTCGTGCCGAATGTGCTTCAGCACGTCTGGCCTCCGATGCCGCAGGCTGTCTGGGACGATGTGGTGATCATTCTGCCGTGGAATCTGTATCAAGCCTCGGGTGATGTGGAAATCCTCCGACGACAGTATCCCAGTATGAAGGCATGGCTGGACCAGGGGGTTCATCGGGGCAACGATGGGCTGTGGGATCCGGACCATTGGCAGCTGGGAGACTGGCTGGATCCTCAGGCTCCATCAGACGAGCCAGGAGATGGGCGGACTAGCGGCGTGCTCGTGGCAGATGCCTACTTGGTGCGCGTCACCAGAACCCTGGCACAGATCAGTCGGCTTCTCGGTTATGAAGCCGACTATATCCACTACCAGCAAGCATCCGATCGACACCTCCAAGCCTTCCATGCCAAGTATGTGACTCCGAGCGGGTTAGTCGCCGGCGACTCCCAAACAGCGTATGCTCTGGTCATCGTCTTTGGCTTGGTAGATTCCGAAACCCAACGTACAACCATCAGCCACCAGCTGTCGCGCCTGGTGCGTATGGCTAAATTCCGCGTGGCCACAGGGTTTGCCGGCACCCCCATCATCCTCCAGGCCCTCAGTGACAGCAACAATCTGAGCCTAGCTTACCGGATGCTACTCGAGGACAAGTGTCCATCGTGGCTTTATCCTATCATGCAGGGGGCCACAACCATCTGGGAACGATGGGATAGCCTGTTGCCGGATGGGTCGATCAACCCCGGCGAGATGACCAGCTTTAATCACTACGCTCTCGGGTCTGTTGTTCAATGGCTGCATGAGACCGTCGGGGGCTTGGTCCCGCGCGAGCCCGGGTGGAAGACTGTCCTTGTGTCTCCTCAACCGGGTGGGCCTTTAACCCACGCGGCGGTTTCGCATGACTGCCCGTATGGGCGCTGGTTCTGTCGATGGGAGTTGAGCCCTTCGGAGGATGATGATTGCGTGAAGGTGCTCGCGGTCGAGCTCGACGTGCCCCTGAATGCAACGGCCATCGTTCGACTGGGCTCTGAGACGGGGGAACAAATGGTCGGGTCCGGGCATTATCGGTTCCAGGTCCCTTTCGTCCCTCAGCCCTATCCGCCTGAGGCTATTGCTCCATTTATCACTAACCCTGGTCAGGGTCTCTGACCTCCATCGGCCCATTGTCTGTCGTGAGTAGTGATCTGGAACGAAACTAGCAGAATTTTCAAAGCAAACACTCCCAGCGAATCTTATGCACCGATTCCCAGCAATATGTCAAGGTCTGCCTACTTGTCGCATGCTGGATTCGTCCTCCGCGTCTACATTACTCAGGAGAATCTACTCTGACATAGGATCTCTAAATCTATCTATTAGAACAACACAACTCCACCCAGAAGAACCACTATAGATACATATAGTACATCCAAATCTACAACAATAACCATCTACACCGTAAGCGTGCCACTCCCAAAACAACAGCACAAGATCATCGAGCCACACTTTTACTCGGCTGCTTTTCTTGCCGGCCTCAGAACATATTTCCACGTCGTGCCAAAATGCCAGCGTTTCTCCTCGACGATCTCCAAGCCACTCTCCCTCACGATCTGGCCGATATCGCGATTCCACCAACACCCATGCCGATCCGCATGGGCGGGGGCCAGATTATCGAGCACGCGATTCAACCACGCATAATGCGAGCGACCGTGCTCCAACAACAGGATCTCGCCCTTCTGCGGATCCACCAGCGTCCCCAGATGCTTCAGCGTGCCCACGGGGTCCGGCAACGAGCACAACCCCATCGTCTGCACCACCGTATCGAAGTATGGTTTGGGTTGGCCCGCGACGGCCGCCCCGGTAATCTCCCGACTAGGGCCGCCCCCGACGGCCGCCGCATCCTCCACCCGAAACTCCACCCTTCTGCGGAGGGCCTCATCCCCAGGGTAGATTTCCTCGAACTTGCGCCGCGCAATCTCCACCATCTGGGGACTGAGATCCACAAGCGTGACGGAGCGGCAGCCGCGCACGCCCACCGCGCCCGTCCGCTCGTCGACGATCCCGCGCCGCACCGGCCCGAAGTCGTAGTACTCGATGTTCCGCCCCGTGCCGCAGCTGACCTCGAGGACGTCGCCGCGCGCGCGGCGGCACAGGTCGCGGCGCTTGGCGCCCAGCCGCATCAGCTTCTCGGACATCTCGACGTCGGCGTCGAAGGTGCGCGCCGTCGTGTTGTAGCGGTCCGTGACGTTGGCGGTGGCGGGCACCGTGGCGGACAGGTTCTGCGAGTACGTCACTTCGCGGCGGTACGAGGCGTACAGGTAGCCGATGTAGGCGCTCAGGCCGAGCGCGCTGACGCCGAGCACGGTCATCACGCGCGGGCTCATGC